ATTTTTTTATTACTTTAATTATTTACTCTTAAATTTAAAACAATCACAACACTTCTGTATGATTTATTCATTATCTTTAACTATAAAATGAGCAAATCATTTTGTAGCTGTTACTTACGACTGTTGAGAAGATTTCTCATCTTCTTGCTGTCAATAGCTAGAACAAATAATGTACGAATTAGTTGGCAGAATAATATGTTCTACTTTGCTATTCCTCCCCCCCAAATAGCCCATTACTGAAGTGTCTTTTATCTATTGTTAAGAGTTGTCAAGCTACTCCAACTCCTATCAACCCCATATATATAACAGACCAAAAACTTTCCTGATCCTGTACCATATTCACAGTATCCAGTATGTGTCAAAGTATTTTTACAGTGTTTGTCTTAATTCATCTCATGAAGGCCTTCTTCTTTTTTTACTGAATTTCTACTTTCCAGCCATCATGCCCTCCTTCAAGGAATAGCCCCCCCTTATGTTGTTATTATATACGTACTGTTGAGTCTCCTGAAACTCATAGTGACACTATATACAACAGCCCTAAAACCTGCTCGATCCTGTGCCAATCTTATTGTCTCTGATACATCTACCCCCATTACCTCAGTCACATGGTCAATCCATCTCATTTATGGTCTTCCTTTTTTTGTGCTGACCCTCCACCCTCCCAGGCATGACATCCCTCTCTAAGGACTGGTTCTGTCTTGAAACATGTCCAAAGCATGTCAGATGAAGCTTTAGAGTCCTTGCCTGCAAGGGGTCTGGTCTCACCCTCTCTAGGACCAATCTGTTTGTTCTCCTAGCAGTCCATGTTATATTCAATACTCTTCTCTAGCATCACAGCTCAAAGACCTCAATTCTCTTTGTATCATATCTAGTTATTGTCCAGCTTTCTGATGTAATTGCAAAGATTATAGCCTGCATCAGGACCCTCCCTATATATGTCAAAAATATATGCGACGAAGTCTCATCGTTCTTGCCTCTAAGGAGCACAAATGGCTACACTGTGGAGTATTAAATATGTTTTGTCTGTATCACAACATAAAGGCATTAATTATTTTTCAGTCTTCCTTTTTAATAACCTTATTCTCAAATGTATATAAAGCAACTGAAAACACCGTTGTCTGAACCAAGTGTACCTTAGGCTTTAAATT